TCATAACACAGCTACAGTTTAAATAGACAATAGAAGCTATGTTATCATATAATTTAAAAATCACATACGTCATGTTTCTCAAATCTGATAAAGCTAAGCAGACTTCTCTTAAAGCACATTGTGGTTTGAAATACAAGATTAAATTTTTGGAGTCAGAGACTTTCTTGTTATCCTCAGCAAGGTTTCACACTAAGAAAAGTCCCATTTCATTCTCTTAACAGGTGCCACCATAAAATTATTTAACAGCCTCCCCTTTTTCAGTATTTGTTGTACTGATAGGACTGATGTTCTGCTCTCCTCAAATTAAGTCTAATTACTACCTCCTCAAAAGACAGAAGGATTTTTTCCAATTGATTTTAAAATAGTTGCACTTCTGTATAATATTCCTTTAAAGGAAGAAAGACATTCTTTCCAGGAAAACCAGCAGTTTTCCTGGTCTCTCTCTCTCTGACTACTCGTTTAATACATTGAAAGGACACCTAGACTATCTTTTGCGCAAGGACATTATATCTTGACTATTTTTTGCATAGTCAGCTACAGCTCTGCTGGCCTCGCTGGGGAAAACACAGAGTTGGGCCTCTTCCATCTCTTAAACTGAAGTATCGTTAACTTTAACTGAATCAAGCACTGACACTGAATATGCAGACCAGAAGGCTATCCTACGCATGCTGCAAGAATCTGATTATTTTGTAGAAACTAGTACAAGCTCAGCCTCAGATACACACTTTAGAAGATTCAGCAGCTACTCAAAGCTGGAAAGCAGAAGTTCAAAATTTAGCAGAATAAAAAAAATTAATTCCTATTTTATTCCTCTCACCTGAACAGCTTTATCTCATTCCTGTAAATGCTCCAGGTGCTCCAGTATATTCCTAAAAAATAAATCTGTACTTAATATTTTAGTAGAGCTTTAATGCCAGATGATGTTAGTGTTCAGGATTAAGTGGCTACATAATAACCAGTGACAGAAATTTGCAGGCCTTCGTGAATTTCATGATTGAGAAAGAATGAAATCTAGGATTAATGGCGCTTTGATTTGAATTCTGAGGCTCTAAACGTTAAAGCCAAGCATTTTCCTGCTGCTTTAGACAGGCAGCCTATTTTTGGGGGCGAGTGTGCAGGCAGGACACACACACAGACTAGCTCCAAAAGTGTTCTGCAAGGGAGAATTCCACATCATGTCCAATTCATCTGACATCTGATCAATTTAGCAACACAGAATATCTAACACAATAAACATCCTATAAAAAGGCAAAAAAGTTTGTACATAAAAGGATGCAATGTTTCTAAGCTCAGTATCAGATAACAGATCATTATCAATTTCTTGAGCTCTCTAATCCTTTTTAGTTGCAAGTTTTTAGCATGTGCTTGACTCAAACCGCTCCAGACAGGAGCTTATTAATACTGCTTATCCATTAATGGAACTAAAAACATCACACAATACACAAGTCTTTAGAGCAAGGTACCTCAACTAAGATAAGTAGATTAAAGCATGCCTTTTCATGCCATAAAAGCATTCCCCAGAATTATATTCCAAATTGACTTGAAAGATTATTATAAATATGGAAAAGGGTAAGGGGAAAAAAAACAAACCGGTGTTCAGTGACATTGTAAAACTATATTCCTATTTCAGGAATGTGAAGTAATTTATAAGATAACACAAAGTATTTTCTATATGTAATGGTTTATTTGTGCCAGAGGACAGATCCAGTTGTAATCAGTGAAAAAGCTTAAAACGGTAGCCCCAGAGATAATTCAAACCGTAACTGTAATTAAAAAAAACAAAACCAAAAACAAAACAAAAAAAAAAAAACAGGAAGGTGCTTCCTATGAAAACAACAACAGTAATTCCCATTTATAATTGCCTTCTATGACAATCACAGGTGTCTTTACAACAGAATAAAGGACAGTAATTAGCACTTCCCAGTGGCTATAACCTACGAGCAAGATTTTGTGCTTTAAAAAATTTGCAAGAAATTATAAATAAAAGCACTGAGCAGGAAATTTGTCAGATAAAAGTTTAAACAGAAGCAGTCTGACCTGAAGTGCCCACACCCAGCTAGCCGCAGTATCTGTTCTCAGAACTGGTCTACATACAAACCAAGACGGGTTTCACCAAACCTATACATTTTAAAGTCAAGTCAAAGGCTGTGTGGGCATTTCAGTAGGCTCACATGGCAAGTGACAGCAATTGAAGTTACCATGATTTAGCAGAGCTGAAATAATATTTGCATACTCTTAGCCCATGGCAAGTATGAGGGAAGAGTCTGAATACAAAGAGGCTTAACATAAGCCAAGTTACATTGCCTTTCCCATGAAGATCACACAATGACTTACCAACACATGGTAATCTCCAACCACTGAGACTTGAAGGCTGAGTCCATCAAGAGCTGGTTAACTTTATGCAGTTTTTGTTCATTCAGTTTACAAGCAGGTTTAAGCTAAAACTAAAGACTTCAGTCAAACCAAAACAAGTGTCTGCATAGGGCTTAGCTCAACTGAATTATCTTCAAATTATTCTTAACCTAAAGAACAGCTGCAGCTATTTTCAGCTTATAACATGATCAAAGAAAATTGTATTATGAATTCCTCTTTGGCTGGAAAAGATGGCTACTATATGGCTTAAAATAAGCCCCATATCTAGTCAAACCCATCCAAACACCTTCTTAGTTTTAAAGCAACTGCACATAAGGAGGGTCAGTACACATGACTACCTCACCAGTTATTGCATCTCTTCAGATCAAAAATCCTGTATCAGAATTCCTGCTCTGACATTGTTGAGGGGTGCAGGGGCGACAACACGGCACGAGATCAGCAGAGATGTGGAAGGGAGAGTGCATTTAAGGAAGAGAGAAGTAGCACCAAGACAGAGGAAACAAAGCAGCTGTCTTACCAGCCAAGCCAACAGGCAGAGCTGGCTACTCCTGATAAAAAGTTTCTGCTCCAAAACAGTTCACATGCAAAGACAAAAAATATAGGTTGGAGCAGCTATACCCTAGCTAAAACCTGCTCCAGAATGACTGCAGGTCCTTAGAGGCTCCAGGAATGAGGGACTTGACATCAGGCATTTTATTCAGTGCTAACGCCAAAGGAAGTCATATTTTAGACAGAAAAAAAGTGAGACAATAAACCCATACAGCAGAGTTTTAATTGTAATGTCTTCTACCATAATCACTGGTGGGCAGTTCAGGCCATGCCTGGTAAGAATAAATCAATACTACTTCCCTTTGGTGTTTTGTAAATAAACCACTCTAGAAAATACCCTGACCTTGCATCATCAATTTCTGTTTTATGGGAAGTGAGCTGTTGTCTTTAGGCAATGGCAAAAGTATGTGAGGTTGCAGAACATCTCAAGAGAAAAAGAAAGAGCCTGAATAACAATGGACAAAACATATTAGCAAACTGTCCTGACTTGATTAACTTGAAATAAGATAGCCCCAACCCATAAAGAATGTTTTTTCTCAGATTTTGGGATGTTCAGATCACAGAATCATAGAACAGTTCAGGCTGGAAGGAACCTTAAAGATCATCTAGTTCCAACCCCCCTGCCATGGGCAGGGACACCTTCCACGGGCAGGGACACCTTCCACTAGACCAGGTTGCTCAAAGCCCTGTCCAACCTGGCCTTGAACACTGCCAGGGAGGGGGCAGCCACAGCTTCTCTGGGCAACCTGTGCCAGTGTCTCACCACCCTCACAGTAAAGAATTTCTTCCTTATATGTAACATAAACCTGCCCTCCTTCAGTTTAAAACCATCACCCCTCATCCCATCACTACACACCCTGATAAAGAGTCCCTCCCCAGCTTTCCTGTGGGTCCCCTTTAAGTACTGGAAAGCTGCTATAAGGTCTCCCTGGATCCTTCTCTAGGCTGAACAACCCCAACTCTCTCAGCTTGTCCTCATAAGGAAGGTGCTAGATCTGTCTTCACTTTAGATTCAGAACATAGAAGTTCTTAGAGGTCCAAATTAGCAAACTGTTTAGTCCCAGAATAAAAGACTTTAGCATACAAACCATCTAACAGATATCTTTTAGCATCTCACTGGGTCAGGCAATGACACACATACTAAAAAAGCTTGCAGCATACTGAGACATAGTGAAATGAAAACACTCTGCTAGTTCTAGTCAAACTGAAGAATATACCATAGTAAAATGCAGGTGCAACACACTACATATAATAAAGCACCAATCCCAGCAATATGTCTGTGTCTAAGAGACAGAAATGTCACCTCAGTGCCCAGTAGCTGTCACAGAGCCAACTGAGTGGGGGCAAGAGTTATTAGGAAAGCATTAATTTGTGGTTCCCACAGATCCTCTAAGAATATGTTGAAATGGAAAAGACCCAGAGAACCACCACAAGAACAATCTATAGGAACAAAACAATGTCAGTTTGGGTAACATTTAAAAAGATGAGGATTCTTCAGACTGCCTATCAGATCTGAAAGGGCAGTACAGGACCTGTACTACAGTGACAATAGGACATGATGCTATCATCTCTTCTAATACAAGAACTAGAAGGCATCAAATACTGCTGGCAAGAATGAGGTTCAAGTCAAACAAAACCAGGTGCTTCTTCACACAGGCAAGGCTGGGCTGTGAAACTTCCCAAGTAAAGGATGCTGTAGATGCTAGGAGTTTACTGGAGTTCAGAAAACAACTGGACAAATTCACAGAAGAGAAAAAAAATCCACTACTCTCTGACTCAGGAATCTCCAAGTCATAAAATTTGTTAAGAAAATATTCCAGGAGAACATCACTATCTGCTTAAGAACTGTTAAATTCTTCACCAGATTTTTCCTCAACTAAAGGCCACTGTCAGTGTGAGATAGCAACCTAGAATGACCTTGAACTGTACTGCATTCATTCTTATGTCAGCATCTTTCTATTTACCTAATGAAACCCTTCTACACATGAGCATAATTTTCAATGCAATTGCCCATACATTAATTTCATATTGCTTCACTCATTTCCCCTCTCCCTTGCCTTTCCTCTCTCTCTTTTCAGATTAAAGAAAATCCAGATGGGGTGCAGGTGCTGCAAAATGATACAAAGGTACCACAGAACAAGAGTTGCTTAGACTGAATAAAAGAAATACATTAAAATATGTGTCTGTGCTCCCCTACACGAGCTGCTTAAATGAAGCCTATATACAAGGTTGGAGTTTTCACAAAGTTTACAGTATCTTTAAAGTCATGCCTGAGCATAGGCATACTCATTCCCTGTGAATGTCCTTTTGATTTACTGTGACTGAGATCCATTTTTATAATTCCTAACCCACAGAAAAATTGTGTGGCATTTAAAACTCATATTTAGCAAAGCTTTTCCACATTGAGCTTCCCTCAAGTCACTAGAATGAGGAGCACAGACTTTGTTAGATCCTCCCTCTCTCCTAAGCAGTGAAAATGAACTATAAATCCTTACTTCCATCATAGCTTTTAAATGTAGTTAGTTGTGGGAACAATTCCCACATAAAAAGTCTCCCTAGAGAAGATGACTAGCTAGTTTTAGAAAGACAACACTTCAGCCCCACTTGACGGTTACTCGTTCCCTTGGCCACATCTCTAGAAAAAGGTAAGGAAGTGGGAAAGAAAACTGGTGATATGAGAGAAAAAAGGAAGATAAAGAATAGAGAGAGTATCTGAAAGAAAGAAGTCAAGGAAAACATGGAGCCAGAGGAAAAATTAAGTAAGAAAGGAAGAAGGAAGGGACAAAAATTTAAAAAGGACAAAGAGGTAAGACTTGAAAGGAATAACACCAGGACAAAAAGGGGAGCTATTTTAGTAACTACATGAGGACATATTAATCAACAACATATGTATGTGATGGCTACTCCTTGGCTAGTCAACCTCCCAGAGAAAATGAAAAATAAAGCTGGAATCATTCAACAATCGGCACAAGGTTCTCTGACATACTCTTTATGCTCCTGGTAAATCTCACTACAGGGGTAAGTTAAGATCAATGCCAGGAGACAGCAGCCTACAGCACAGATTCAGCATTTCCATTCAGTTTAGCTCATTCTCAGAACCCCAGGTAAAGTTTAGTGACACCAGTTCCTCAAGATCTCTCAAAAATTAAGCTTAGTTATTTTTCTTATTTATCAACAACATAATTAACATTTCCTCTAAAAATTTTCCATATTCCAGCTATATTTTTGATCCAGAAGAAGTACAATCACCTGGATGCATTCATGAAGTAAACAGCTATAAACTTAATGAGCAAGGCAGCAATAAATCCAAAGAGAACAGTGAAATCCAAGAACATATAAATGAACTCCAAAAGGATGAGCTAGACAGAACAGAAAACAAAAATCAGGTAAACAGCACAAAAGAAACCCTCTGGAACCACAGAGGCAAAGATTTCCAAGAGGCTGGCCTTGTGAAGTGTGTTGCAAAGCTTGATGTTGCAGTCAACGGTGGCAACTCCTGTGCTGGAGCGCACTCCATGCTCAATCCCAATACAAGCCCAGTAAAAGAAGCCAGTGAACAGGGAACCTCCAGCCAGTCAGAAGCTTCTTCAGCCAACAATAGACACTTTTACACCAAAACAAATAGGTCTGGACAAGAACTTGACCTAGAGGCAGGCAGGCAGAGGAAGGCAGCCTGCAATAAGCCAAACAGTATTCAAGATGAGAACTCCCAGTCTGCAGAAGACAGCATCTTTCTCAAAGGAAGTGCAATACTAGAGACACAAAACAATGCCTTAAAACTGCCAGCTATTGATTATCCCCAAAATGGCAACCAAACCAGGAACTATGTTGAAAAAGATAGCTTTTCAGTCAATTGTGCACATTCAGACCAGAATGCTGGGCCTGCAGCAATACAGGATCTTTGTGTAACCCCACCTTCACCTATGAAGGAGAGCAGTATTGAACCTTTTAAAACTGACTCTGCGAGTTTGAGTGAGGGCATTACTGGTGGTATCACTGCTGTGGCTGTTACCAGAGTTGCACAGGCACCCACAGACCCCAACCATAAAGACATCAATGGAGAAATTGAGGAGGAAGATGCAGAAGTTGCAGCAGCTCTGGCTGCACTGGAAGCTGCAACTGCAGGGGAAGATGTGGAAGATGATGATGACTACTAGATGAAGGTTACTTTCTAATACACTGGGTAAGATCCAGATTTTATTTCTGGATCTATATGAACCACATATGTGGACAGCTGTTATGAACAGCATATATAAAAGGAGTTGGGACTAAGCCTCTGTCCCTTCAGCTGTTTTATACAGCCTTTTAATGTCTACCGCACGAGGTACAGAAGTGCTCCCTTGGCTAACAGTAACACTAACACTCTTTCTGTGGGGCCAGCCAGGAGCATAAAGCATCATTTCACCCACACAAGATATTCTGCTGCATACCCACCTCACCTGGACTCATGCAAACGTTTCCTTTGGTTTTGACCCTCACGAGGGTCTGAGAGTACTCTATATTCCAGGTTTATAAAACTTCCAGTATTTAAAACGGAACTATAGAAGCCATGGAGTTAGAAACCATAGATTTTCACCCTGTTAGGACAAAAAAAACCCAAAAACCACTGACTCAAAGTTCTATGATCTAATGAAGTATGAAGTAGGGAAGGCAGCTTGGCTTGCACTTCACTGCAGTCATGGTTCCATTCCAAATTAAGCCTAAATCTGTGCATGTGCAACTGGTGTTAGGTTACCTCATTTTCTCCCTTACACCTCCCCTGGCCTTTGTTTGATACCCCAAGTGATCTGCTTCAGTTCATTAAAACAGCAGAAGCCTAGCCAAATTCAAGAGTGGTTAACTGTCTGTTGGTTTAATGAGCTAAACTAGCTCACACAAGAATTGCACACACTCTCAAAGGTGCCAGTGAGGGATCAAAACTCAGCCCTACCAGTTTGGATAGATTAAAACTGTTGTAAAACTACACCCTGAGACCTTTCAACTCTGCTAAATTTTCCAGGCATACATCGCTTGCCTTAACAATACAGTCTGCAAACAGGTAGTGTCTCAAACATCCCCAGCAAGATGCATTTTGTTTATATACAGGTAAGAGACAGTGTGGACCCCTCCCTGGCTCTGCTGCAGTCCTTATACAGCAGGAAAGGGATCAAGCTTCCAAGTTGAATTAAGCATAAAACTTGAAAGTATCAGTTGCATTCGTGGAGTGTTTACCCTTCCTCTGATTTTCAGGCTAGACTAGTTAGCCTTTCTTGCGGGGGGGTTAAAAAAAAAATTAAAAGGAGATAAACCACCTTTTTGCTGCCAATTCATCAAAAGTTGGATCTTAATGGTTGACATAGAAAGTGCTTGACATTTTATACTGAAATCGTGGCTTCTGAGTTTTTGTTATAAACTCTTAATAAATTTTTTTATTCATATAAAAAAATAATCTGGTTGGTTTTGTGCTTATATAACAGTTACATAAAAGTAGTACTATAAGATATATCCCTCATCAGGTACAAGAAAAGCACAACTATGTTATTTGCCAAGAGTATATGCTGAATCCTAGTCTAACCATTAACATATGTAAGGATCAGAATATTAGGAGGTGGGATTAAAGTAATGTGTAGATATTTAAATTATTTCTGTTTAAATGCAGATTCCCTCTTTTCTTCCAAATACTGCAAAACCAAATCAAGATTTCAAAACATTAATGAGCAATTAAACTAACGTCTCAGCTTCAAGAGAACTATATGCAGCTCCAGATGAAAGTCACTACATTGTATCTGGAAAATAAAAAAGCTGTGTATGTTTTTAAAGTATTGTAGTACTGCTGACTACCACTTTCCTACTTTAATAGGCCCTTCTAAGCATTTTTGTAAGTGCATACAAGTTTTATGTGCACGTTTGTGTATCAAAGATTACTATAATACTGAATGACAGTGAAAGACTACTTGCACATTGCATATTACTAGTTATGGTTATGACAGGACATAGCATGTCTGCTTTTATGCTGTGAGAGCCCTGAGGGCATCACCAGGCCTGACTGTCACTGGCCACCCCTCAGGGCTCCCCCTGCCCTGGGCCCATGGCAGCCCCCGGGGGCATCAGACCCTGCCCCAGCTCCCCACAGCCCTGCTCAGCCTGGCCATGGGCCCTGCTAAACCGGGCCTACCCGCAGGCTGACAGCCTGGCCCAGACAGACACTCGGCCTGGCCCCGTGAGAGATGCCTGGGGCTGGGTTTGCCCTGGTGCCCCCCCCAGCCTGCCCCTTTCCCTGGCTGGGGTGGTGGGACAGGCTGTGCTGTCCCCAGGGGAGCCTCCACCACTCCCCACACCCCAGCCCAGGGAGTGCCAGCCCCTGCTGCACCATGGCATGATTAAAGAATGAAATGTAACAAAACCACATCTAATTTTTCACTACCCACTTGATTAAAATTTTCTAACCAGAGCTCCAACCACAAATCACATCAAGTTTTCATCTTCCTTCCCAATAATTAAAATACACTAGAGGTGAGCACCTAGTCAAACCGAACCGGTGCCCTGGGCACTCCAAACCTGGCATCTCTTCTACGGGCAGCTGCCTGCAACTGCGGACCACCAGACTTCAATCCCCTGCAAGAGATCAGCTGGGCCAAAACATCGCTTTTCTTGCAGCCCAAGTTTTCATTGTCTTAGATATAAGGCAGGCAAAAACCAGTGTAGAGCAAGTATATTCACTGCATTGGAAGTAACTCGTCAATGCTTCTCTTAACCAAAAAAAAGAGTCAGGTATATGCATACCTGAAATCTGCAGGATATGGAAAGCTTCCATAAAATAAACCTATGAGGTATCATCAACATTCAGACTTCTTTTATCTGCTATCTAAAAGTGCCCTGTGTAGTTTGTTTTTTTTAAAATAAATATATATATATATGTTTTTTATATTTATGTATGTGTTTATTTCCCTTCAGCTCTACCATGTCACAGCTGAATGTCAGGAATTCTTAGCCATTTCTCATACTGCAGTACACTTCACAATGAACTTGAAAGAAAATAAATTATTTCAGAAATAATTTTTAAATACTACACACAGTTTTCTCCATAAAAATAGGTTTTAAATAATTACGTGAGAACCAAATCTTATTCAGTTCCCTCAGATGTTGATCCAATGAAACACAAACAATGCCAGCTTGATCAGTTTGGCTCAGACAATTGTGAAAGTAAAATTTAGTATCTTGAGAAAAAAGAAAGTCACAGGAAGGAAGTTACTGGAATCACAAGTAAACTGCATATTTTAAGACTTCCCTCAAAAACTACACAGCTTTTAATACAGCTCTTCCTCTCTGCCCCAAACACCTTCAAACACCAATTCAATTTTCCTTTGACACAGTAGGAATTAATGAGGGAGCTGGTTGGCCAATATCTATTTTTAAATGTTTCTCTATTTAATGCAATTCTGTATAGATTAGTGTAGAGATGTGTAGCAATAAACAGGCAACAGGATGGGAAACTATTTTAAGACCCAGTTATTCTATGAGAGATCTTGCATCTTGGAAGCTCATGTTTTACTCCAAAGTGTATTCTCCAAAGCTAGTAACACAGTTTAAAGGGAAATTGTAATCTGCCCATATATAAACAAAGAGACATTTGAGTAAGAGTAAACTTTGCACCTTTACATTTAGCAGTGGGTCATCACTGGATTCTGAAAAAAATTCAGATCATTACATAGATTCCAGATATGACAACAGGAGTGGAAGATGGCCCAGTCCAGCCAACTCAAGGAAGTTAATTATTTCCTAGAGAAAACGTTATGGGGGAAGTTTGTTTACAGAGCAACAGAAGAACCTGAAATTTGATATTGCACAATTCTTCAGTTCAGCAAACAAAACACTAAAGAAAGCAGGAACCTGGAAATAGGTAAGTTCCACACAGAGGTGGCTTTTTTCCATTTTAAAGGACAAAGGCAATAAGCTGGGCAAGCGTTGCTATGGAGACTTCTCATTAAAAATTAAAATCCAGAAATAGGAAGTCTATTATTTTCTAAAAAATACTTCAGATTTTATTGCTTTAATCTAAAAATATTATTTTTCATCATCATTTAAATCATAAAATAAAAAAAACACTGACTTAAAAATAAAAAATTTAGTCTTGACCTTATGCTGTATTTGTAGTTTCAATTTCCTAAATGTGATTTAATTTTCCAAAAGATTAATCTTTGCCGATGTATCACATTTTGCTAAATAAGAATAGAATATCTCACCATATACACAGGCCTTAATAAATGTTATTTCATACATTTACTCAAATGCCTATATTGTACATTTTAATTATATTGAAACAATGAATCTTAATAGATTATTTATCTTGCATTGTCATTTCTCCTTGCATGTAGATGGAAACTCGAATCCATCTAAATTGCACAAGAGCATCACTTCAAAATTAAACTATTAAAACAACACGCTGAATACACAAGAAAGTAAATATATCAAAGTTGTTCTACATCTTAAAATTATTTTTTAAAGGAAGGTTTATCAACAGAACTGTTTCAGTCATTCTGTCCTTCCTGGTTTTAAAACACCTACATCATACAATGTTTAACAGTAATTGTTAGAAGAAGATTAAGACTCTTTCATTGGTTTTTCCAACATAAACTATCATTGACAAAGACAATTTTTTTTTCTTACCATCACAAAAATCAAAATAAAAACGCCTCAGCTCCTCCTCTAGCCAGACTTTCCAAGTTTCATGCATTCACATACACAGCTAGAGACCTCAGTCTCAGGACTCCCTTATCCATTCACAACTTCACTTGGCATTTCAGGGAGGTTTGTTTTTAATCTTTCCTTCATTTCGGACATTCACTATCATCTTCTAAACTTCGTATCAGGCAATCTGTGAATTGAACTAGTTGGATTAACAGAAAACAAGAAATACTGCCGGCACCTACAAATGATACTACTGACTGACCACTTCTGCAAACTCTGTCCCACCTTCTTTGAGACTTTTTCCATTTCAAACAATGAGGTGTTGAAATTTGAGAAGAAGGTAAATGTGCATACTTAGAGATTGAAATAGATTACAGCAATTTTATGCCTTTCACATAAGCAGTCAGTGCTTTTAACATCTGTACTGTTAAATACAATTTTAACTTTGTTAACATGGTTTAATCCAATTTCACAACATAACTTTATTAAACAGACTTACTCCCCCACTTCCCACCTCTTCCTCCTTTAGTCAGAGAAAAGCAGTATTTCCTTGTAAAACTTAACTCAAGAGAACAGAATTCCCTCAATGAAGCAGGAAAGACAATGGCTGTCTTGATGTTGGTTTTAATCCAACTGTTGAAGTACAGATCCAAAGCAGTCATCTCACAACCAGCATGAACGAAACTATGGAGGTTACACCATTCCCCGCTCTGAATCTTGATTGAAATTATTGCTAGATTAAACAGGTTTTTGCTGTATTTCATAATTCAGTTACTGTACATTACCAACTGAAAAATATTTTATTCTGTAGCAAAACAGAGAAAAAAATCTTTCAGGAAATACAACATAGCAATATTGTGTAAATATGGAACCAACCCCACAATAAAACCATGTCACATGAAGGGCTGCCATTTCATTTGTTTGCTCATTGAGCTCCCTTCTATATTTGCTCTGAGCTAGAGATTAGCTTGATTTTTATGAGGGTGTAGAAGCAGAAAGAAGCAAGGCAACACCCTCAAGCTATTCACCTTAACCTCAAGCATGGCCAGATTTTCTGTAATCTGCGATACCGTGCTACCCCCAGCTCTTAACACTCGGAGCTGTACCAGTAACTTACCTAGACTTATGAAAAGGAAAGGAAGGTAAATGACAAAGGCAAGATGACTACAGAGCAAAAAGAATGTATGAATAAGATTAAAATACTGTTTAGGTATTTGAGGACAAACCGTAGGGATCTGGCCAAGAAGTAATAACCTAGGTTGTTTCCATCTCATGTCTAAAAGTTGGTATCTAAATAAAGCTTTACCTGCTTTTAGTTCTGAGAACCTCTTCCAAAAGCAAGATGATATTAGTGACATGCTTCAGATTACTTCTTCCACAAATCTTCAGAAAAAATAAGATCCATGCAAATTTTTGTATTTCCAATACAAGATGTGTTATATGAAGACTTTGCTGTGGCCAAAAGTTGTACAAGTTTCTCCTGGACTGAGGAAATATTAAAGATTTTTAACCCCACAAATTTCCGTTTGTTAAAGTGACAGAGGTTAATCTAACAAGTATACAGTATATTTTGCCAGAGCAAAGCTGCTGATTTGGGTTAATTTTTAATCATTAATCTCTTGGGTTTGCAAACTTGCATAGGAAACTCATCCAGTTAGCATCTGCAAAAAAGGACTGTACTAAATATCCAACACTAATCTAAATTATCAAAAGCCCGACAAAGTAATACACATACTCCACCCTGACTGGGAATGACTTTTACAGAGTCAGGCACGAGCGTTAATCACAAGCCCAACGCACACTGCTATTGTTTTGACATACGCCACACTGATCCTGTTCTTCCTCGTGGCTTTGACTAAAAATTTGGCTAAGGACGAAGTTTCCGTTGTTCCTTTTAATCACCACAGCAGCTACTCGGGCCGGGAGCAGCCCCGCGTCCGCCTCGCCCTGCCCTGCCCGCTCACCCCCAGGGCAGCAAAAGGCTACTGCACAGAACAGGGACGCAATCCTAATCTCAAAAAAATAAGTAAGAAGCCCTAATTTAATTGAAAAACACTGACACACGCCGAAAGTTTTGGAATGATCAATAAGAACTTCAATAGCTCCCTCTGCTGCCAGCAAATATGTATTTCGGCTGCTCTAGGCAAAACCAGGTCACAACTGACAAATCTGACTTTTTCTGTCTCTAAGCATATAAACGTGGGTATGTGTATACACACATAGGTACGTAGAATCTTTGAAAAATAAGATTTGGGAAATACCTTGGGCATTTTAGTTTAACACCCGAAGACTGCTGCTTTTAAAGAATAATTATTTTGACTGTAAATCAAAATACTGAAGGCCAGTAGTTAAATACACACAGTTTTCATATGATAATTTCAAAATACTGTCTTGTTCAATGCAAAATCACACCATATTACCTGGTTATCTAGCTGGATATATAGTGACGCCCATGGAGCAATGGCTGATTTTTTAGGACAGTTAAGAGACAGGAGTTTGTTTCAAACTGCTGCTGCCACCCTTACTACTGTTTTACAGTCTTCCTCCCATCTTCCCAAGTCATTCATACTCTGACTGTACCTGAATCCCCTCTCCTTACCTGCCCCTCTGCCATCAGTGCCAGTAGGTATCAGCGAGGTTTGTTAGTTGTTTTGCTGTTAATTTTGCAACAGCAAAATGGCTGTTTTGCTGCATGCTGACAGCTATGAAAAGTTTGCTGAAGCAAATGCTCTCTATTCCTGAAGACCACCCTTTCAAGACCATAAACACCATACAAGCACAAATGCTTCCCGTCCACCACTGCTCCACACTTGACAAACGCTGCAGCACAAAAGAAACAGGACTGGGATGACTACCTGAAAATAGGCCAGGAAGCAACAGCTAACATGGGAAGTAGGAGAAAAAATTAGAGGGTTTAACACATATAAAAGTAAGGGGCTACACTGACAGAAAAGTACATTTGCCAGTATATCCTCCTTTGTACAAGACAGCTACACTGCAGCTAAACTTGATGCCGTTGCATCTCTACAGCAATAGGGGCTGCACAGATACAGTTAAAGAACAGTTGTTAAGATACAACAGGTCTACTCTGCAAAGACTTTGCATAGACCAAGAGAAAGCAAGGCTGACTGCATGTCCAGAAACAGATCGGCAAGCACTATCCATGTAATAGGGTCTGGACTAAAGCTCATCCATGTCACAGGTGACTTAGTATCTCTTCTTACCTAAACTTAAGAGCAAAACACACCGCCAACCCACTCATCCCTCCTGGTCACAGATAGTTCAGAGGTTGCTTGCTTTAACAGCACAGAGCTTTCAGACCTCACCAGAATGTCTCTTCACAGGCTTCAGCCATCTTCACACTTCCAGCACTATGGGCCTGGCACCTCTCAAGCCTTCTTTTCTCTGAGAAATGTGCATCCAGAGCAAGAAATACAATCAAATTACAGCAAGAACAAATGAGAATAAAGACCAGCAGCACCTATTGCATGCCCCCTACAACTGGAGAAAAAAAATTTACAAAAATCAACAAGGATACCAAAAACAAAGGAGAAATGGAAATTGCAGCAAGCATCTGACAGTACTTTGAGCCTAACTGCAAACTTCCTTCAAACAAAATTCAAAAATACAGGACTTCACAAAACACTGAAAAAGAAAAAATCTAAAACCATCTTTATCTGGCCAAGTCTTACATATTGTTCACTAATATTAGATTACCAAGGCTTAACCAACTCTGTTTATTCATTAGCAGTAGAATTGCACACTCAGCAGGAAAAAGGAAAGAACAGGCCTATCTGCACAGAAATCCTAATTTAATAGATACAAACTGATTTGCACTTCAGACTACATCCGGGGCACAGGTAAGAGTACTCAACATCCAAAAACTTAATTCCTTAGGAAAGACAGTAGGATGTTCCAACCCAGTAGGCACTTTCAGCATTACCAAACCAGGACAGACCACATATCCTCCTCTCATCAATAGATAGTCTCATTAAAAGGCACATTTTAACCCACATTGCTTTGTATTAGTATGCAGGAAGTGCAAACTCAACTCGTGTGCAGAAAAAAAAAAAACAAACAAACATAACACTATATCTGACACCCTTTTCTTCTGTCTATTCCTATCATGCTTTAAGTGCCACACACACACACACACACACACACACTTCAGGAATACTGGACCCTGGGCTCATTTCTACAGAAAGTGAAGATGCAACATCTATCCACAGACTTGAAATACACAGAAAACACTTATGCTTTCGGTTTTTTTCTTTCTAAATAAGACCAGCTGGCTGAAATAACACTGTCTTTCCACAAGTGACACAAAACACTTGTAAGAACAGGGATCATATAAGGTACCAATTTTGTCAAGGCTTCTGTACTTGTGAAAAACAGGGAGACAGTTCAGAAAAAAAAATGGCAATGAGCTCCCACGTACACTATGGCATGTTTTCAACTGGGATTGTTTATAAAGAGATTCAGAAATAAGAAAAAATAAATGCTTTATGTTTCAAAAATACATTGCACATGTGCTCTGTGTTCTTTACAAGTAAAATCAGATTTTATTAAAGATAGAAATAGCTCCCTCATCTGTTTTGCTACAGCAGCCTGAAGTAGTATACTGAATTTTGGCATAATGCTCTACTAAAAACATGAAGTATCCGTACTGGGAAAAAACAACAGAAGTGTTACTCATGTTAAAAAAGTTCCATCTCAAAAAATTCTTCATATTTGAGTTCTCATGTCAGTCCAGTTAGAATTTTTCAAACATTAAATCAGCAATCCTCTTGTATTTCAATATATATATATATATATTATTTTATAAAAACTGTATTACACAAAATTTAAATCTTCGATCCTTACCTTTCCTGACATCAAAGTTTGTTGATATGCTTATGTTTGCATTCAGTTTTAACTTCAATATAACCTGAATTTGTTACTGAAAGCATTAGCAAGGCGAGGAAAAGGGAGCAGGGAGGAAACATAGTAAGGGAACAAAAAGTAGTAGAATATTTCTCAGGCTATTTTTTTATGTAGGAAAAAAAAATCTCCTTGAAAATGAGAATCAGAAAATGTGTTCAATTTCCAGAAACTTCACAATCAGCAGTATTTTGATTATCTTTGAAACTTTGGGCCTGGAGGGATTTTTATTTTAATTCTGAATATAAACCACAGCTGTATATAAACAGAACTCAAATACAGACCTCAAGACAGACTTTGTGTGATGTAGCTAGGAACATTCATAAAACCAACCAAAAAACACGCCAACAGGATGGCACACTGATAAGTACCTCTTAGCCACAATTTGCCTTGAGCCTCTTTCACACTATTCATGCAGAAAAACTTAATGGCATTTACAGATCACAGTAATCTGTAACTATAACGTACATTATAGTAACACACAGGGACACAGGCTGAGAGGAAGCAACTGCTAGAGCTTCCTGTCATTTTAATTTTTCATCCATACCTTATGAAAACAATTGAGAATAAAGATCATGTTGTGTGTGTTTTAAAAGGTCAATGTCAAATGTAACAAAAAGTTAAAAGTCTTGATACTTTCATGGTAACAGGTCTTTAACCTAATCGGATACCGGCTTGGATTAAAGCATAGATTTTCTTCTTTCCCATGTAAAACATGGAAATAATATTTGCAATTACTCTTTCTCAAGGAAATAAAACTGCTCTGAAGTACATCACATAACAACCTAACCTTCTGACTACATAAACAAACAAAACTTAAGATGCAAAGAGACTGAATTATATATTAAGACTTGTGAAAAGGTTAAACTTCATGCAATGGATGCAGGCTTAAAGTCACAAGCAAGCTTAAGAATCAATATTTTTTATTTACTGCTTGGTAGTACAAAAGTTGTATATAAACTTTTTTGTTAAAAATACATCTGATATGCAAATTTAAGAAAGGCAGACTAATATGGCAATATCCATACCCCTACAAAATAGCAGTGTAGTGTTAAATGCAATGTAACAGGCACAGTTTTTAAGTCTTCTTATTGAAGTAGCAATGCACAAATTAAATTCTTGCACACATCAGGTCTTATATCTTATGTATTTTATACAGGTAAACAATGTTTTACATATCCAACACATTTTCATTTCTTTTATTCTATATATTTCCAATGGAATCAAGATAGAATCTACTTTTAAGTAAAAAAAAATATATTTCCATTTAAACTTTCTTCCATTCTTTTGACAAACTGTCTTGCAGTACTAACCCATCATGTATCAAAACACCATGTTACCAAAATGCTCCCCCCCCCCCCTTTAAACTGCTCAGGTTTGTCCAGTACTCCCTTTCCCCAGTAATATTTTATATTCATAGCTCTCAATCTCTTAGAAATTGAAACCTAACTACTACAATCAATACTAACTAAATTCTTCTAGACATATTAGCTTTTGATCCAAATAAGAGAGGCTTGAAGAAGAAAAAAAATCAAGAATATTAAATGTATGCCTATAAGGTAAGCTTTGTGTTTACGTTATACTTCAATATTGAAGAGACTTCATAAGCCACGCTTAAATTAATGGGTATGGAAACAGGGATGCTAAACACTCAAGTTCCAATCCTGGCCAAACAGTTATTTTAGGTTCTCAAGGATGGACAATTACCTCTAAAATTATCCATTTTAAAAGGAACACTAAACCATTTATGCTTTTCATAGCTTTGGTGTGTGATTGGTTTTTGCTTTTTTTTCCACAAATACAGCATCAGTGAAAATTATATACTCACAGGTCTATTCAGTACCTTGTAGATACAAGTAAAAGGAAGACCATCAGCAGCACATACTCTCAGCAAAAGTAAATAAAGTTGGTATTTCCTGACAAGATGTGGGAGTATCTAATACATAAGCAAGAACATAAACTTTTCTCTTTGTACACATTGATTGTTAACGCCGCATAAACTCATAAAGAAACCTGATTCTCAGATCTGAAGGAGAAACACAGTTTAGAGCACTTGGACTGAAAGGATTTAAAGTATTATTTGAAAATAAATCAATTTCAAAACACACTGATTTTCACTGAGTTCATAAAGCAGATTAAGTTACTTTATAGTTCTCAGAATATAGTGCAATCTCTACTAAAATGCATTACATTAGAGCTTATATTCTTAGGCACTCAGAACAAATGTTATTTTTCAGTTTCTATTACACAGCAAATTTTGCTGAAGTATTGCAAAGATTTCCCTCCCCAAAACAAGTGACAGAGATTATGATAAGTAGACACAATGAATTAACATCACAAAACCATTACTAGTATTTTTAGCAGTAAATCACGCTTAATATATGAAGGGAGTGACACTGGCTTAAGATTGTGTTGACAATGAAAACAGCTACCCTCAGTCCAACAAAGCCACTCTGAAGTACTTTAGTATATACTCCATAAATTTTTTATGCCAAATATTCCATATCCTTATCTAATGGTTGAAACATGTTGCCTTAGCTTAATAAGGAACCCGTGGATAAAAACAAAAAAAGGCAAAACTATTAGGCATTCTTCAAACACAAGTGAGTAGTTACAAGAAAATGGGAGAACAAGTGGCCTTGAGGGAAAGTAACCTTCCCAAGAGCTCACCCAACTGCATACAAAAAGATACTGCTTAACATAAACTAAAGAGCAAGGGGGAGGTAAGAGGGGGAAGACAATTTAATTTAATATTTGCATATAGCTAAATCACTCTGTCCTGTGAAGTACCCTTCACAGAGTCTGAGGGTTTATGTACTAAAGGCATACATGTAGATTTTGACTGACATAATTATTTCCTTGTATGTTTTGCTTGGCTACTAGCAGTTAGATTAAAAGAATATTTTCATCTTCCAAAGGCTGGCTTTTTTCTTCAGCAAACACTTGTCAATTCTGGAGGGGAAGAACAGAGGAGAAAAATCCAGATGGACCAGAGAGGCGAACACAGTTTATCCACAGGGTAATCGTATTACTCATAATATTGAGTTCACTAAAAATGCTTGTCTAAGTAGAAAAAAAAAAATTAAGATTGATAAGGCTTTTACCTTTCCTGTCCAAAAAAACCCAAACTTACATGTCTTTTTTCTTTCCAAGATGAAGGCCATTTGGCATGAGTTCCACACAGATCAACAGTGTTTAAGTGTCTAAATCTTACTGATCTTACTGGTAACAACCATTAAGTGCTTAACCTTGCACGGATGCCATCACAGAATTTGTAAAATACTACAGTGCCATAAATACATTTTCTTAAATAGTATGCATCTCTTGGGATTTTTCAGTTTTCTCCAAAGTGCTAGCAGACAAGCTTCTAAAAGTTCCACCTGCAAGAGAAGAAAACCATTCTAAATATAAGCCTAAATAGCAAAATTAGTTTTAGGATGATCAAGTAAAAAGTTAGCAGATGCTCTGAAATGGAAAAAAATGCCACAACAGCATGAAATGATTGCTGTGCACTGCAAGTTTAGCATGTGAAATCCTAAAGGAGAAGAACTAAAAATTCAGCTGGTACTCATGAAAACGATGGACAAACACATGACAAACTGACAAATCACATCACAATGCAAAGCACACACAACTCTGAAAGGATACTAGGAATGCAAAGTGTTATGTAGCTTCAGTGCACCAGTACTTTAAGTTTTTGTTGACCCAGTAGCTTACAATGGATGTGCAAGAGCTCAACTCAAAATGTTTACTTCAACTACCAGCTGTATATCTACTACTTTTTTTGTGTGTGCCACTAAAGGCATATTTTAAATAAACTTAACTGATTAAATGGAGTTTGCCAAGAACATGGACAACACATGCTATAACTTCAAATGATGCAGCCAGCCAGACACTAAGATAAGCTGAAACACTGTAGAGGCTACTTCAAGACAATACTACGAACATATCTGTTTAGGGGGAAAAAACACCCTGAACTCAGGAGTAGCAGTGAACACAAGCAACCAGTAATACTAAGTCATTCAAGTACCACCCAACTCAGGAATTCCATCTCACACAGGAACTCTCAATAACAGCAGTTAAAGTCAGGCCACAAAGCACAAATCTACTGCCTCCAAAAGCTGGAACAAACCTTTTCTAGCAGCAGTTAAATATTTGTTTGTGTCTTCTTCCTCTGAATCTGAAGATCTGAGCCAAATTGTGCAAAACTATATGCTTTTTAGCATTAATTTATTGACTGGAGGCACAGAAGTCTTAAATGTTGCTTCTTTGTTCAGCTTTATTAAACTAAGCTACAATTATTTATTAGAAGTCTGAAATAAGTAATTAAATGTCTAACTACTACCTGTTTGTACATGAACAGCTTTTCATGGCAGTGGACAAAAACTGATCTAGAACCATGCTAGGAAACAGTATCATAGTCTTTCAAGCAAGATCTGTTTATTTTTTGTAGTACACATCAAACAGGCCTGGCTAACTTCCCAGATAATTTACAAAATAGTTCTGTTGGCCTCCAAAGACCTTTACGAGAGATTCCAGGGAACTATTTCTCTATTAGAGCATGTGTTTTCAGAAAGGGCAATATTTTTAATCATAAGGGAGATTCTACAATAAAAACCTGCCATACATGGACATTTTTTTATAGCTATAATATCATATCTCTCTAGAGAACAGCTTATTTTTAGATTAAAGTAGTAACAGTTTAAATTTAGAGGAAAACTTTTAGGTAATTACATAAAACAGCTTTTTTATTTAGGGAAAGAACAAATTAGAAAAAATTGGACTAGCAAACATTTTTAGTGATTTAAATTTTTTTTATTAAATCAAAGCACACTGAAATTAATTTTATTTTTATACACCAATTTCTTTCTATTTCTAATGTTTAAAGAAAATGTAACCAGTCTGCCTTTAAGTCAAAATTCCTATTACGAACAGTCTGATCATGCTACCATTAGAGATAAAGAAAATAAAACAAAAAAGTCACAGAAGTAACAAAAAATTAGCTGGATCTGAAAATGCCAGTGCAGCCAGTGAAGGAAGATGTTATCCCCTACTGCATTTAGCTAATATTGATTTTTTGAAAGGGAAGAAAGGAAAAAAAAACACACCAACAAAAAAAACCCCTGAGCACCAGGACATAATTCTGAATCAGAAAATAACAGTACAGTTTGTCTTTCACTGACATCTGTAGATCTTTCACAGATTACAGAGCAGCAATGAGACAGCAGCCACTAGAAAGCTACAATATGACAAAATCTGCTACAGAACAAAACGCAAAACAAAAAACCCCTAACATCCTTTCAGACTCACCTATCTTCAAGGTAGGACCAGCTGTAATTACACTGGCTTTGACAAGCATTTGTCCAGCCTGGTCTTAGAAATGTCCAGAAATAAAGATAAAATAGCTTATTCCAACTTCTTAATTTTTGAAAGCTGAACTCCACCTCCTTGCAAATTAACCTACTGTTTGCCTTCTAACCCACTCAGCAAAAAGAATAATTTACTTCATTACCTTCCAGAGCTTTTTAAACTTACTTCCTCTATGACAACCGTTCAAAAATTTGGGTGTAATATAACGATGAGGCACAGAGTCCAGACAAATACACTCTAGTTCAACAGTTGTACCTGTGCTGCCAGTAAAGACTGGGAGGAATGATCCCATTGCATACCAGCTCTCTACTTTGTCTCCCTTTCTAAACTGATACAACTACAGAATGTTTTCTTAATGAATAAACAACAGATATAAAGAAAAAGTCACATCTTGCACCTTGGCCTTTCCGAATTTAACCTCAAGACACCCAAGGGGTTTTGGGTCTTGTTACCTTTTTAAACATACCCAATTTCCATTTACGCATTTCCTTCATATATAAAGTTACTGAGAGTTTGAAACTGGACCGAGCTGACATAACATGACTTAATCCTTCCTCTCAACATACAAAGAGTTTGGCACTGTGCACTTTGTTCACTTTCTTCAAATCCACTTTGTCACTCCGGGGCCCATTTCTTCCCCAGCGGTCAAGATCTGTATTTTGAATCACACCTATGTAAAATCACCTTCCACCTTCAGATTATCAATCTGTGTCATCAGTTAGAAGCAAACCATATTAATTTACAGGGTTTTTTCCCCCCCAACATTCTTAACTGTTAAAAAAAAGTAGTCAGGTGTGCATTCCGAAACCATGCCAGACACGTTTGACATGCTTAATGGGGTACCTCAAGTAATTCACTGAGGTTTAATGACTCACAAGACAACCCCAACCTCCTGGCTCAGTAACCTACCATAGATCCCTGCGACACGAGCATTTTCATGTGTCTCCATTCTTATTAGCCAAAGCTCCACTCATCTATCAGAGAAGTATTTAGTAAGCAGTCAACATATACAAGCACACAGTACAGGGCAGCAAGCATAAGAAAGAAGCACTGCAGTTATTCTAGTGATGCAGCTGTCAGAAGCATTTGTTTCTTCTTGGTAATAAGCACATTGCCACTAAATCCAAACCATCGTTTATTACAAAAAACATAATATGCAAATGTTTTATTTCTTGGACCAGTGATGCCATCTCCGAAGCAGTTTTTATTTCAACATCTGCTCTAATTGCAAAGTCTAAATAAACAATTAGATAAGCATTTGGTGGGTAATTTAGCCTTTACTAATTTATCATTGATTGATCAAATATAATTTTTACAGACTTCTGTAGAAACTTTTGAACTTGAAAGATGAGTTTTCACACAGAACCAATACATTTTCAACTTCATTTCTCATTACTGATTACCTTCACTTCTTTCACAACATACCACTTTCAGTACAAGTTTCCTGTGTTTGATACCTGCAGTTTACTCTGATCTTCTCCTCTCTTGCACCTCCTGTTTCACAGGCGTGGCAGGTGTTTCGCTCCCTTCCTGTTTCACAGGCGTGGCGGGCATATCACCATTGACGCTCTCCACACCAGTAACAGACATCAGGCTTTTCCGTTCTTTGGAATTTGATTTGTGCTCCACTTTTGTGACTCTAAATCTGAGGTAAGCAAAAGATTCAGTTGTATTTCCCCAGAGATTAGTTAGATCATTCTCAGTACCCTGTGCATGAACAGGAACACCTTTTCAGGTCCCAAGACCGAGACATCAGAGCAGACACCCATGTGGACCCACCAGCTTCACTCTAGAGCAATCTTTCTTCTTGTTACCTCCCTGTAACTTTTAATACTCACTGCTGCTGAATCACACTTTCTCAGGGAATTATGGTTTAAAGCAGAATCCACAGATTGCACACTACTTAGAACAGTAATTTTCTAAGACAACTATAACATAAGCTAGGAATTAAAAATAGCAAAACAGAATGGTGGTTTCTGTAGCTCACACTTAATTGGGAAATATCAAATTCAGAAATAGAGGAATTTATTAGTATGCAATTCTTTTTAGCCAATATCAACAGAGCAATAGCTTTCAATTTATACCCACAGTAAGTCCCCATCTATTTACATAGTTCTAAAAAAAATAGTTTTAAAAAAAAAAAAAAAAAATCACATTTACATCTTCCAGAGATAACTTCAGCCTAATAGTAACAGGGTTACAAAAATCAATCACTGATGCTGTAACACAGTAGAATCAATGCATATCTGATCCAACACGGGCCACTCTTATGTCCCTATGAAAAGTATACAATAAAATTACTTAAGTCTTACCTTCCCACAGAAAGGACTGTAACCTCTCCAAGACGACTTCTTCTGTGCTCTTTAGATTTGTGAGCTGGCTTTATAAAGTGCCATCGTTTGTGGCTACAACGAGTACAAACATCCTTTTCTACTACTCCTCCAACAGTGTGGAAGTGATGGCCTTTGCAGCTGTGTTTAAACGGAACTGCACCAGGTGACAGAGGAGACCCTGGACTTGTTGGACTCCCAGGAGATGTAGGAGATAAAGGGCTGCAGGAAGAAGTATAAAGAAAATGTAATGCGTACTGTAAAATCCTGCTTTTCATAAAGTAAAAAAGGATAAAATATAACCTTCAGTTATCTCTAATAAATAGTTTTTTCAGGGACTGTTTATTTGTGAGGATGTTTGGTTTAAGGTTCTCTCCGATATAATTTTTTTTTTGCAATTAAAATCACTTCCATAAATTAATTCAGCTGCAGTCATGTGCTTACAGTAACACAAATGGCATAAAAATGGGGGGGGGGGAAAATCAGGCTAAAATAGGAGAGAACAGGTTACATGAACTTATACTGTTGAAGACATCTAATTAGCTGATTAAATTCACACTTGGAGAATCACAGAAAGTATTTTAGAATTGTTACAGTTTCTCTAAGAACTCACAGAAAAAGAGCATAGTCCCACAATATTGCAAAGAAGCAAAACTCTCTACCATGAAGAGAAAAGGAATCGACAAATCATTCAGCTCAAGTGTCAGAAAAAGCTTTTTTTGAAGTACCTAGAGAGAAAAAGCAACACAACTACCCGAAGGCATTTATTGAGAATATCTAATGAAATCAATATAATTTTCTTCTAAAACAGAAAAGCAGATTGCTTAGAAGCCTAATTATGTTCTTTTTTTGGACTTCGGCATCAATTTTGACACTGTCTTGCAACACTGTCTCCTAAAGCAAACTAGAGCTCAGTGCATTAATAGAAAAATTACTGTAGCATAAGGTAGAATATCTTGTTTAAAAAAACAAAAAACAAAAAGACAAAGACATAACAGAAAGTTATATATCAGTAGCTTATTAAGCACCTGGAAAGACATACTAAATGTGGTTATTGTGGTCCTGATAATATTCAGTGTTTTAAATAGCTCCTTGGGCAATGGAATGTAAGAATAGCTAAAGGACCCATAAACTCTGTGTGACCCATAGTAACCATAGAGGACAAAATGAGGAATTAGAATGATCATGAGAACATGTGTGTGAAAGGCACATTCACACATCCATGAATCTTACTAAAAATACTGGATGTATTGCAGTAAGGACAACACAAGCATCAATGATTTAATAGAAAAACTTTACAAACCCAGATTATAAAGCAACTAGACAGATGATCATTCTTCACAAAAAGGTGAAGATCACAAGCAATATGAATCATTATGATGATGTGGCTTAAAAAGGACAAACTTCACAGTGGAAATAACAGGAATAACCTGTGAACCTAAAGTTACATTACTCAGCATTAATCATACCTCAGCTGATCATTCCATACAGTTTTAGAAATGTTATTTCAAGCAAAATACTAACAAACTGAAGAGACTCCAAAGGAGAACAGAAAGAACAAAATAAAGAAAAGAAATCATGCCATAAAAGACTGGAGTTACTGGATGTTTATTTTCAAAACAAAAATATTGACAGGAGGCATTTAATGGTCTTCAAATAAATAAATAAGAAAATGCTATTAAGTGAAATAAAACCTGTTCAACATCTGAAGCAAAGACAGAAACTAATGGTTTCAAGTGGCAGCAGTACAGATTTTACTTAGCCATTACTATTCCTATTGTTAGGAAGCATTTCACAATGCACCAAACTTACCAAGAAATACACTGTATTTGCATTTGAGTTACTGAAGCTTTGGGAGTACCTGGCAGAAATGACTGAAGAGAAAACAGTAATTTTTCCTTCGTCTTTTTGTATTTTAATTCACCAGTGACATAATAGTCTAAAACTCCCGAAATAACACCACACATGCCTATGCAAAGAGATTGAATTAAATGTCAAATATTTCTGCTGCACCACAAAAACTGAAAAATAATTCCTATACTTAAGAATTCCTTTCATAAGTTCTTTTTTTTTCTTCAATAGCAAGTGATAACACTTGTATACTCAACTCCTTGTTTTGCTAAAACTATACACTCCCACTTCTTTTATTAGTGACACAGTACTACTTGAACCTTCATCTTCTTTGCCTTGAATATGAACACATGGTTACACATGAAAAGTTTTTAGAGTACTACAGATATAGTTTAAAGGTACTTATGTACAGATATAAGTACTTTTACACAAATGCATCCTTTACATAGTTCTCTAAACAGGTGTGTAGTGAAAAAAAAGTCAGCCAATACATATTACCACAATTATAAAGAAAAAAGTAAACCAGAAAGACATAGAAATAGGTGTCTATTTTATGTTAGCATCCACATAAGTGAAACAAGTGCTGCTTCTGTTCTTTCAAGTCAAGAGTAGCTTTGGACTAAGCAAACTTGGAAGTAGCTTCACCCTAAATTAAACGAGTATTTGCAGCCTCTGTAAATCTTTAGTCAAAAAGCAATAAATCTTTGCCACACTCTTAAAACACTTAACCAAAAGAGCCAGATACTAACCTTGAGCATACATTAAAATTTAGTGACACAGATTAGACGAGGAAATCAAAGTAGTATTCTCTTAGCTGATAACTCAAAGAAGTGATGTAGCTTTAAAAGTGCTCAGAAAATAAAAATCCCTTGAAAGGGTACAGTTTTGGTTGCCTCAGGAAACATGCTTTAAAAAAAAGGAGTAATTACCTTTCAGGTTCAAAGACACTGCTATCTGCTACCATGGCCTTTAACACATCAGCATTTGCTGCAATGAGAATAAATAGAACTCTTCAAAAGTGTACAGTTCTAACTTTAGGAAAAATGAACAGTAAAATTAAAGGTCCTCAAAAGAAATTTCATCTAAAAGACACATGACTGCATTATGTATATCTCCAAAAAGGCATGAGAACATTATGCAAAAAAATGTTGATATAATTCTATGGTATTTTCTTACATGAGCTACTAAAATTACAGTTCATGTTGCACTGAAAGCTCTGCCCCAGTACAAGACACAAAACATAGCCATCTGCACAACACTACCAAACAAGATCTCTGAAATTTAAAACAGCCATTTGACCACAGAGTATCATCATCTCACATGTATAAAGCAACTTCAGATTAAAAACAATGGTTTAAGTGAGCCCTACAAAATGCGAATTTACTATCAGCCAAGAACTACGGATTGCTCACATATTCTAAAAACTACACAGGGTACTTAATCCCAACCTCAAAGAAAAAATGCACAAGCTCAAAGTCCTAACAGTTAAGGAAAAAAAAAAAGTAACACCAACCACCCACACCAAGAAAAACCCACAAACCAACCCAAAAATACAACTCTAACAGGCCTGACCTTCATTCAGAAGTAATTCAAAGCCAGTTCAATGCCTAGGAAAACTGATTTATACAAATGTAAAATTAAAAGGCTAAAAGTTCTTGCATTATAAAAACATACAGACTCTTTAAATGTTTCTTTTACTGGGCAAATACATTCTATGGGCTGCTTAATTAGGTTTTTTTCAGTCATAACTTCTTTATCCTTTAATTTACACACACAGTGCATGAAAATATCATGTCCCAAACTTAACTTTAGTGCTAATCTACCCTTTTGTCTCAATTATGCACAAAACTTCCATCAGATAACAGCAGCAAGAATCATTTCAAGACGTTTAATCTGTTCAAAACAAATTTTGCATGCTTTAAACACTGTCATTATGAAAGCAACCTTGAGCTTTTATTTCACAAACAAAAGGATGAACCAAAAAAAAAACCACCCCAACATCCAAATAGTTAAAATATCAAGAAATGCATGAAGCAAACTTACCATACAAAGTGATTTTCAGGTAAGTGAAAAACTTCCCTATTTTGTTTGAAGTTACTGACTTTTGAAGGCAATCTCCAGGAGTTAAGCATGTACAAAATGGTTATTAAATGAACACACACGAACATCCCATACTTCAGAATATCGGAAAACACAATTTGTTATAGAACACCATCACAAAGGCTCATAACTTCAATATCACAATACTATACCTTCATTTTTCATAATGTAGTTAACAATTTGTCCCACGGTGTCGCTATTCTCATGTATGGTTTCATTCATTTCTGTGCAAGGAAATAAATACCTTGTCAGTATCTTGGCCTTCCAAATCAAGAACTGAGCTATTTTAAAACAAAGCAAAAACAAAAAAACCCAAGCCAGAACAAAAACACACACCAGAAGAAGTTACATTAAAAGAAGATCTACTGTCACTTTGGAGGGAAAGCTTAGTTAAGTCTTTTTGGTGTATTTCCAGAATAAGGACTAAATAAGTTTATGGAACGGACACATCAGCTCTAACATATTAATCGAAGACTTGAATCAACTCAGTATTTTCACAAGCGTATGTCAAAATTCCTTCTCTAGCTAGTAAGGAGTAGACAAATAAGAGAGCAGTATTTCTAATCCTAACAACTGGGAAGTGTGGGAAAGAAGCAAAAAAAGAAGGAAAACACAACCAAAAATATCATTAAGCTGTTTCAAGTCACTATTTGAAAACTGCTATTATCAGTTTCCAGTATAAGAGGGATTCAATTTAAGCTTTGCACCACATCTACAAGAAGATAAATTTTTTTTAAAAAAAAGTCATATGACTTCAAGAGCAAGGGATTTAAGAAAGAAACCTCATGATTATACTTAATACTTTCATAATCGATTGCACCCATTAACAATACTGGAAGCTTCCCCAGAATAACCTCAGAAAGCAAAGAAAGATACAGAAAACATAACAATGAAGAGCCACAGCTCTGCCCCTCCCTAATAATTGTTATGACTAGCTTTATTAAAAAAAAAAAATTAAAACCCCATCAAACACAGGATTGAGACAAATTTGATAGCGACAAATTTAGGGTTTCACCTAATTAGTAAGGTAGGGGCTTCCCCATCTCTGTACTCATGCTGCATCTTCATCCTAATACCTGCAACTTTGCAACGCAACTTAGAGCTGTTTTGCCAAACTAAGACCTAGAAGTTGTCCCCTTTCATTACCACCCAGATCAGATAGTCCCATTCACTGTGTACACACCCCAGGCAATAAATGCTTAAGAACATACTGACACATCATCATCACACTACATGGCTCTACCCTTGCCACAGAGCCACTGTAACCTGCACTTATTATGAACCTACTGACAGTAATTAATTGGGAGAAAGGAAGAGGCTCAAAATATTTACAAGTGACCAGTCCCTTGTATTTACTTAGCCAAGTGCTATACTGGGTTACTATAGCCGTTCCAAAGTAGTAACACTTATTTGAATATTTTTTTTTCAATTAAGAGTAGATGGGAATAAGGAACCCTAAAAAGAGCACTAACAAACAAGCATTAGAACAATAAAGGTTGTTAAAGACTGAAGAAAAAATTATAAACTGTGCACATTACATAAACCAGAACATAGTCAGTCCAAAGGCTCAGTTCTATAATGAGAGGGGAGATAAAAATGACGGCACAACAGGAACAAATCGAAATTGCTAAAAATAAAACTAAGATTTTAGGCTTTCAATGGCAGCTTTTTGTCACTCCTCAGAATTATGTATAACACTACTTTGTTGCTAACAGCATGTGGAATGCAGAACAGTGACCTGGTAACTCCAACTGCCATATATAGTTGCAAACAAATATACAGGATATTTTGATCCTTCTGTAAGTTCTTAATTGATGTCAGAGGACTTGAATGAGAGACTGCAACACTCCTAGCTTTGACTGGCAAAGATCAAAACCCAACAGACATATAATGGTAATAAAAATATTTTCTTAATATTGTTTTGATGTCAAATACAGACAGAGAAATGACAGATGTCTCACAATAAATTATTCCATAGTAGTTGCAATGCACAGAAATAGGAAGTTGTTTATTAGACTTGTTGATTACCTATTTTTTCATCAAGTTTTTCTTCTTCTACTTGTTCAGCCTCCGTTGTACAACGATATCCTTTTCTCTTAAGGACATGACAGATGAGGATCCCCAGGAGACCCATAATGAAGAAAACAGGAACCAATGCAAAGGCAATATATTCTAGGTGTTCAGTCTTGCCGTCATTGCTGTCTATTTTAGTTGTTGAGGTAGTTGTCTGTAAGCTATAGCTTGACAATACCTGGAGACACTTCCTATTAACTACATAAAGAAATAAACAGTTATTATTATACACTGTAAATCACTTCAAAGCATTTATAAAATTACAAGCTTGACCAGATCCCCATAGTACCAATGTCATGTACCTTCTGTGATGACTTGAATGGACAACACATACTCTACTGGCTGAGAATTCACACCCATAACAGTAGATATCCCCTTTTCATAAAATGATTACAAAATATCCAACATACAAAAAAACCCACATGATATTTCAATACAACAGTGAAGAACAAACAATATTCTAGCCTGATGGGCTTGTTATCTCAGCAAGAGGGCCTGCTGTATTTCACAGAAGAAAAACACCACAATTGCTCCTGCTTCCATCAGTGAGGAAAATGCCGTTATCATTCCTCTAGCCCTGAATTCATGCAAAATTGCTAAAACCCCCCATCCTATGGATCCTTCCCTAAAACGAGAGTACATCCAGGATTTAGTATTGACCCTTGCAAAGAAAAAGTACCAGGTGTGAGAGAAATAGCCGTGGTAATTTTCTTAACAGTGGGATTTCACAGCACAAAAGAAAGAACATTTACCCTCTACTCATCAGCATAAGGTGGGCTCATTCTTCACTTGTTTAAGATTTGGAAACCAATTTGTATTTAAACTTGAAACAGGATGGAAAGAGGCTTTTCTTTTTGTTTGCAAAGAATTTAAGTTGCAGCATACGAACCACTAACACCACACCCACAATTAAGCATTTTTGTTTCAATTAAGCTCTGAATCTAGCAGACGTATATTTCATGTTACAGGTCAGGCTTCTGAACGATCAAAAGTATAGAACTACATTAGAATGGACCTCTGGAGTTTGTTAGTTCAATCGCTGTTAAAAGCGGGTCTGATTAGACCAGGTTGCCCAGGTAAACTCCATCTGAAGGATGGACACTCAACATTTCCAGGCAACCTGTTCCAGTATTTGCCCACTCCTATGGCCAATGCACACAGACAAATTAAATTTTCAATACCTTCTCACTGATCAAATATACAAGTTCAACTGTTCAGTTAAATCCAAAAATACATGTTCACATACTCAAAATTCTCTCTGAGCCTCTGCAGTTTATACACACTCCTCGTCCCGCATAATAAAGATGTAAATATAACTCAACATGCAAAAATATTCCTATCCTCTATTCTTCTCCTCCACTTAAGCCAAAAACAATTGTTTGGAATATGAAGAATGACAATAAAGAAGACCAATTTTAAAAAGTCTAGCACTATTTCAAGATATTTTCCATTTACTTGTACTAAAATGGACAAGGCAATTCACAGCTGTTCCATTAATCAAACTGAAGAAATGAAGAGTCATCAGAAAACTCTTTACATGACAGTGACACTTTCACAACAAATGTCTAGATCTAATCACATCCTTAAAAAAATCAAACAACAAACCACCAAAAAAAAGAAGGCTTCAGAAAATTGCCAAAAGACTTACTCCAAACACCTCTAGTGTGCTGGCTGTAAAACTAAGTTGTATTTGAAAAATAACACTAAGGTGACAGATAGCTAAGAAGATATTTTTAAAACTAGTTAGTTATTTACTTTAGATTTCTTTATCTCAAAACACTAAACCTTTTTATTTTTAAATTGTCTGAATTCCTCAGGACATTCTTGAATTGTCAGTTCAGTAGTAAGTAATAACACAAGACTTGCACAAAGTGAAAAAACACCGCAAATTCTTTGAAATAGTAATAATTGTTAAAACCCCAATTAGCAAAAAGGAAAAGAAAGTGTTAAGCATTTATCTAAACTAATTTTCTAGACAATAGTAGAAATGCAGAAAAATTAAAAGAAATGCAAAAAAACTAACTGAACAGATCACGAGGCTAAATATTAAACAAAATCTCAGGATGTTTGCTTTGGACAAAGCCAGATGGACTAGCCTGCTCCAAAACCAAAAGAGAAAGCTATTCACTTTTAGAGCAATCCTACAGATAATTGTATGCAGAATTTACTAGATAAGCAACTTTTAGAAGCTTTAGCTTATGCCTGAGTAGGACAATTGAACAAGATATAGAAGTTAACACTTTAAGGCTGCAATTATTTTACACTACAAGGAAACTAAAGACAGGAAAGGGTAACGGACACAATCTTATAACTGAGAAAGTTGATCTTACATAGAGTTCATTTGCTTTCTAAGAACTTTTAATTCATGTTTTAATAGAACAAAATAAGAGTTAATAAGTTTTAAAAAAATTTTTGCTATCTCACCAGGTAGCAACAGCTACCAAGTCCCCAACTTAATCACACAAAGCAGCTTAATTTATTTCCCACACAGGAGGGAAGACATCACACCAGAGAAGTATTGTTTTGATGACTAGGGTATCTCAGAATCTAAGAAATCCAACTTAAACAGTATACAACACAAGCTCAGATGGGTATTAAAAAATAAGCACCCTCCATGTTCAAATATGAGACAAAAATAGGCAGATGCTTTGGATTTTGCTGCGCATTATTCATTTTAAGAAGGAATGGGAAAACCCTACTACACTAAGACATCAACAGCCACTTACTAGTCAAGCTAACAGGTGGAAGGGCCACAAAATTAATCTGACTCAACTTTTCAAGTTTTCTAACTCCTTGTGGCAGGAGTGACAGGGTTGCCCAAACAAATAACATCTCTTTTCTCCATAACCGTGGTAGGTAATTCCCACTTAAAACCTAGAAAGCAAGTGGGCCATATTGCATAGCTAAAGGCCCATGCTTCACACTCTGAAGCTGTGGTTCATTACAATTTCTTCAGATGCTCCAGTGGTTTTAAGAGGTCCCCTCCCCTTGAGTCCTCTGCTCCCCTGCTGGCTGTGCACCTCACAGACTGTAGCCCTGAAAAACAGCCCTGAATACTGAATATTCTGTAGCAGAGATTAGTCCACTAATTGGATTGAGATTTAAAGAGCTTTTGAACTAGGCAGGAAAGCAAAGTATTTTCTTCATTTTAAAAATACTTTATCAGACATAGATACTCCAACATATCAGCCTACCTAGATAGGCCTACGTGATTTTTCTTAGATACCTACATAGATATGCCTACAAGATTGCCTTAGATACCTAAAACTCTAATTCTTGCATTAATATTTAACACGATAAACAACTTTACGAGGTATTTTGCTTATTACTAGTAAAACATTGAATCAGTAATATTTATATATACACATAATTTACACAAAATCCACAAACTGTTTGATGCCATTCATTTTATTTTCAGAGATGTAAAAATTCACCAAAAGCAAACCAAAATATCCCAGAAGAAATTAATTGGTTCAAATACTTGGTACTGTGTAACCTTATAAGCACAGCAAAGCACTCAGCTTTCATTATCAAACACCCTACGCATATCAAGTAGTTTGCCCTCAAAAACCTCAGCAGTTATGACATAATACAAGACCAAGGCTTGCCTAACTGATGAGCAGTATATTTTATGTCTCAAGTCATAGCTACATCATTCATTGTATGTTCCCTATTCCTCTCTCCCAGAGGCATATTATGCTTATTAACAGATTGTTCATAGTCTGCCTCATTCTCATGGTGTATGATGTTGCTTCACAATGGTTCTTAATGACAAGTGCAAGCCACAGCCGCCATCTTTGACTCAAATCAATTCAGATGGAAATTCATTCGCTTTGGTGGTTTGCTGTCCTGGCATTTTTATATACCTGTCATTGTATACAAGTCTACATATCAAAATTACTTGAAGATGTGATCTAATAAAAATATTTAGGAGCAGTATTCATCACATTTAAAGTGATGCTTAAACTGTAGATCACAGATTGCATTTATGCTACTAACTCACATCCCATGTACTTGTTTCCTTCAAAATGAATATATTGGGTATTGACCTTGAATATTGTCTGCCCTTACAGACAGTCAACCTCAGACAAGCCTTTTACACTGGTTCTAATCACTACTACTCTGACACAAAGATAATGTTCTATCTCAGCAACAACTCAAGAACATTTTACAGCACCTCTAGGAAACAATATAGGAGGACAAAAGTTAGCACATGAATGAAAAAGTGTTGTCCTTCATTAAACTGCAGTTTTTACTTGGCCTAGACATATCTATTAACATTCTAGTTAAACACTGTATTCCTTCCATATTAGTAAAATAATGTTTGACCACAAAAATATTCCAAGAGTACAGTGTCTTAAAGGCTGAAGCTGGAGCAGACCATGTAAGCAAAGGTACTGCTCTGCAACAAATTTTCCTTCCCCTTAAGGTTTTATAAACTCACAGGAAAGACCTTAGAGAGGTCATTCCATCGTCAAAAAGCAGGATTAACTTTATCAAGACAACTATTTGCCAAGTATGGCTAAAGATCCTACAAAGGTAATAGCTTGCCCTCCACTCCTATTTTCTTTCTCATTGCAAATGGAGGATCAGAACAATTCCTCCTTTAACACCTACTAACACATATCAGATTCTGCTTGCACGAGTTACAGAATTACTCTTTCCTTGGTTTTAGCTGCATGTACTTGAAAAGATTTCATACTGACGTGCGGAATCATACTCCACAATCTGATGGATTGTAAAGTAGGTATGTTTATTCAGCGCTGGGCACACAGGGGATAGCTCCTCCTATTGTGTGCACCCGTTATAGCATTGCTACCTTGCTTTTATAGAGTAAATGATTACATATTCATAATATTTTGCAATACGCCTATACATATGCATTACCTATCCCCGCTTCATATTTAAATTAGCATTTCCATGACCTCCTCCCAGCTGAGTCTGTGCAGTGTTTTCTGGTGGTGGTCGTGGGGGTCTTTGGGGATGAAGTCACGCTCCTCTTCCTCCCGTCCGATTGTAACCCCAGCGTTTCGCGCAAGCTCAGTTGTTCGTTGGCCATTATCTAAACCGCAGACCTAGCTCTAACTGGTTTTGTGCTATCTATATATTTCAGCACGTCCCGTTATACATACCATCTGCAAGGCAAGGACTCCCTATCTTGACTATTCTTGATTTATTATATTGTTCATTATCCACTCATCCTGCAAGGCAAGGACTCCTTATTTTAACTACTCACTTTTACCTCATCCTACTTAGCTTGTGCCTTGCATCAATACTTGGCATGATCACTAGGACCTCCCCAATATGAGCCCGCTATCTCAAAGCTTTGCCTTTAGTATTGATCCAAACAGACAATTCTCAAACTTTTTCATAAAGCACCCAAGAAATCTCTAGAAAGATTTAATATTGCTTAAAGAACAACTCAGATTCTTGAAAAATATTTTTATAACAAAGAACAAACCTTTTTAGTTGTTACATATGCAATATAAAATTCATTAAAATAATGCATTATATTTTTCTAAATCTCCTATACTAAACATGCATAATCTACATCTAGCTGATTACTTCAAGCACATTCTAGTTGGTTTTTTATTGTTTAATTTACAGAAACAATAGCCCACAATGACATAATCTTCTCTCTGCTCCACTGATAAAGAATCCTATTTGATTATTCTGGATTTTGCCCATTACACCCATGCTATTTATTTCTTACAGCATGCCCTTTAAAGAACTTTGCTTACGTTTTATGAATTTGATTGTTCTAGCAATCTACCTGCTAAAAATAAGTACATACATATTCACTATTGTCTTCATAAAGTTCAAGGAGTTACATGATTGTATTTCCTACTTTCAGGCACAAATATGAAGTGCAGCTATCAATCTCACAATATACAGAAACAAACTATTGTTTACCTTAATTAATATTTAAAGAAATTAAATACAATCAATGTACAGCCTACTGAAGTACAAAAAAAAAAGAAATATTCAGATTGGCATGATCTGCTCAAACAGCAAAGCATAGATGGAGAAAACACATCAGTAGCAACATCATCTTATGCATTTCTCCCCCTCCTCACCATTAATGTGCCAGTTCACCCACCTGTGGAAAATGAGCAATCACTTAAGGTTCAAAATAATTTAGACAGAGTATGGTTTACTTGGGTGATTTTTTGGTTTTTTGTTTGTTTTTTTTTTTCTTTTTCTTTCTTTCTTTCATTCCTGGATCACTTCTAGTTCAATTCACCATGAGAACCTACACACTGTTTAAAAGGCATAATCAAAGGACTGCTTAAGCTAGCAATGTCATGAGGAGGAATAATCAGGCAGCTGCGACCTCCTTTCACCCTGCAAGGAAGAGGCACTAATGATCATACCTAGTGCTTCATCCTCTCCTGACTCTAGGGCAAGTACACTTTGAACTGCATTAAACTATGACACTTCCCACCTCTAGGCCAGACTTCTAAGGTGGACAGATGTACGCTTTGACTTATTCATTTTAAGTAACATTTAAAGTATTTTTTTTAATTTTAAATTAACCCTCTTTTAAATTCAGACATAAAAATAAAAGAACTTGCTTATTAACTGAAATTTCTAAATACACACTAAATACCTCACTCTCAAGAACTTAAGAAAACTAAATTTATTTTTAAAAACTTACTAAGGTAAAGAAGTATTAGTAAAATTAACTAAACGCCAAAAAAT